TTGACTTTACGAACCGCTTCGTTATATTTGTTTCTGGACTCGACTTTGGATTGTCTATCCTCTACAGTGGAATGCTGTAAGAAGGTTCTGTGTGCCTTGATCTTCTGCTGGCGAGCAGTGTCACACGATTTGTTGAACCAGCCTTTGGACTCTGGTTTAGGCACTTTCACTGTATGAGGGATGTATTCCTCTCTCCAAGGAAAGGTAGAGAAGAACTCTTTGAGCCCCTCATAGTCGGCATGTCCGTAATGCCGTAAACTTTTGCGTCCTGAGCGAGTTTCTGCTGCCAGAAGGCTCATTATGGGCATTGAAATCACCGAGGAGGACTACCTCTGAAGTGGGGTGATTGATGTCCAGGAAGTCGATCTTGACGGCGAGTATTCAAGTAGGTCATTCCAGTTATGGTCCGAGGGACAGCGATAGGGGGTAGCAAATATATTAGGGGGATGTTTTGGAGTTCGAGTTCGAGAAAATCTAAAAATCGTATAAATCATATTATTGAAGATTATACTATGTTTCACTCATCATTTTGAGCAGCAGGACTTTCCTTCATTTCACTTCGGATATTCAGCAGGTTTTTTTTTATTTTATCCATACTGAGTACAAGTTTATTACATCAACTTTTTAAAGTAGATATGATAATAATAATCATGGAATCACTTTATGACCCGTATTTACTGAACAAACGAAACAAAAAAATAAAAGTCGCTCAAACTTGGTTTTCTGACGTTTTAAAGGCTCGAAATAATTTTTGTACTAGTTGAAATTCGGGGGTTGGGAGTTGCAGGGGGGTGGAGTAGGGTATATGAAAATTTGTTTGCCGTAGTATATTTATACGCTTTCAACCCGGGTAACCCTATGCAAGTAACGGGTGTTTTTTTCGAGGTATAGAACTTTAAGTTGGCAATACTTTTGAAGATGGCGACCGATTTGACAGCTGTCAAGTGATTTATTCTCAGTGTGGTTTGGCAATTCATCATGAAAATAAACTCACACCTAAACAACGCATGCAAATTGTGCAGTTTTATTTCGAAAATAATGGTTCTGTGCGGAATACGTATCGCGCACTACGTCTATTTTATCGTCGACAAAATCGTCCATCAGAGCAGTTAATTCGATTAACCATGGAACGTTATCACACCACGTTTACTCTAATTGATAACTCGCATCCCCAGAGACGCCGTACGGTCCGTACAGAAGAAGCTATTGCTACTGTAGAGCGTAGCATTGAGAAAGACCCGAATGAGTCCATCCGCCATCGAGCACAGGAATTGGATCTGTGTCCATCCACTTTATGGAAGATTTTGCGGAAGGATCTTGGTTTGCGTACTTACAAAATCCAACTCGTGCAAGAATTGAAGCCAAACGATCATCAAGCAAGGCGTAGATTCGTTGAATGGGCCTAATTTTCATAAGCGAATTTTGTTTAACGATGAAGCGCACTTCTGGTTGAATGGCTACGTCAACAAACAAAACTGCCGCATTTGGAGTGAAGCTAATCCTCAAGTCTATGTCGAAACACTGTTACATCCAGAAAAACTGACTGTTTGATGCGCTTTATGGGCTGGTGGAATCATTGGTCCGTACTTCTTCAAAAACGATGATGGCCAGAACGTTACAGTCAATGGTGATCGATATAGAGCCATGATTGCTAACTTTTTCAATCCTGAATTGAACAATCATGGTGTGCAGGAGCTGTGGTTCCAACAAGACGACGCAACATGTCACACAGCTCGTGCTACAATCGATTTATTGAAAGACACTTTTGGTGACCGCCTAATTTCACGTTTTGGACCTGTGAATTGGCCTCCAAGATCTTGTGATTTAACACCGCTAGACTATTTTCTGTGGGGCTATGTCATTGGTCTATGCGGATAAGCCACAAACGCTTGACCATTTGAAAGACAACATTCGCCATGTTATTGCCGATATGCGGTCACACATGTTGGAAAAAGTCATCGAAAATTGGACGTTCAGATTGGACTACATCCGAGCCAGCCGTGCCAGAAATCATATTTAAAATGTAATGCCACAAGGTTATCTTCGAATAAAAAAAATGCATGTCAATCGAATAATCCATAGTTGTTTTATTGCAATTTAAAGTTCTATACCTCTAAAAAACACCATTTATTAGACATATTTCACACATTATAGACTTCCTCGTACATCTGCCTTTAGGACTTATAATGATAGTGAAACCGTTTCGATCCGCGTACCCCTGCAGATGTAGAAAAGGAAAATGTTGTCAAATGGATAGAAATTACCTGTTCGTTAGGGAAATAATGCCTATGGACTAATTGTATGGGTCTGTTTGACTGACTCAATCCATTTAGTCTTTCTATTGTAGCAGCTTTTTCACATTTCCTACCTGGAAAATGTTTAGTTGGTGCTAGAAAAGCGAGAGCCTAGACGGCAAAATGGGTAACGAAAGACATGTAAGGCTCTCCAGTACCCAGTGCGATCTTGGGAGTTTTCGAGTCAATCTGGCAGGTGTCTTTAACTTTTTCCTACTTCCTACAGTAAGCAAAAGAGGAGAAGTTTGAGGTTTAAAACATCGAAACTAGGCGACACGGTGCCAATGCTACCGTTCTCACTACCGCTGCGCCTCTCCAAATTGTTATTGAACATGACGTTAACCTTTCAAAAAAAGTTCATCTCTCAACTTTCCTCGTGATTATTCTCAAGATTTCGCGTTCTCAGTAATTTGCAACAACGGAAAAGGAAATTCCATAACCTGTCAGAACAGTACGAGAATAGCAGCGTTGAAAGCTCAGGCGATGATCGAGAGGTGTATAGTTGTAAGTGGTTGATACTAATAGAGAACTGCTACAAATAATCTATCACGTATCAAAACAAATTTACATGGGTACCCTTTGGGGGAGCATACGCCCCACCTGGATACTGCTTCTTAATAAGACACCCAATCCTTATAGAAGATGTTATTTCTGGTACTATTTTGAATAGTTGCACCCCACCCCCCGTCTTCAAGTCTTCAATTGTCACCAACGGGTTAGCTAGTTCTCAACATTTTTGATCCTGCATAACCTGTAAACCAAACATGCCACCCCTGGATTTTGCTATCTGGGCAGTCATGCAAATTTAATAAAAAGAACGTAGCTGTGCATTATCTGACCCATACCAGCAAGTCAATGTAAAAAGATAATATTCTTGTATATATTTGTATTTCTGACATTTGTTTTATTTTTATTTTTATTAGAAAACACCTGGCAATACCGTTCCACTGCTCTAGAGTGTCATTCAACTGAGCTACCCATTTCTGAAATCCCCTGCCCTTCATGCACTAGCTTTTTATTCGGTGTTATACGCTCTGAAATAGTGGGGATAACGATAATGACAATGTGTCCAGATTGTGAGGTTATTTTTTTACCGTTTTTGTTGTTTTTGATTTAAACTCACATTAAACCGATACCAAACAATGGAGGATAGTAAAATCTAATAATGTATGACCCAGAGCCACAACATATATTTGAGATGTTCCTAAATAATGAAGATCACAAGAAAGCGCAAGCGGCTTGTAGTTGGATTCACCTATATCCAGGTACTTTTAACATAATTTTGAATGTCTACACGAAAATATGAATTCGACACATTTTCGTAGCAGCTTTACAATGAAAATACAGACATCTAACGTGTTGCGGCATCAATGGGATAGTCAGACAATGCTTCTGTAAATAAAGGCCAAATTTGTTGCACATGTTTATTGTTAGTTTGGCAGTAAGATCACAAAGATGTCAACACAAAACATCAAAAAATAAGTTAGGCTTTCGGCGTTCCCGTGCTAGAGCAGCTTAGGAACATCACACACCGGCACGAACGTTATGTAAAAAACCTATAAAACGTCAAAATAAATCTATAATTGTCATCTTGCAGACTAGGTGGTCCTTAGGGTGCAAACAGTTATTCCACGTTTGCTCACTAGGATCGCTGTGAGCGTCCATCTATGGAGGAATGACTCAACTACACGCATTGTTGGTTGCATATGTTTTGTGAAGCCAAGTAGTCTGTAGCTTTCATCTCTGAGAAGAAAGTTGGTTGAATAGCAAGACCGCATCTGGATGATTATGTATATTGGTCTGCATGTGTATAAAATCAGTGATATTCGCTGTGTTAGAAAATCATCACTGTATATCTATTATATGTGCGCGACAGGCTATTTATATGTTGTCCTTTCTGAAGACAGGTTACGTTGAAAGTTATAAATTACGATTCTTTACGTTTTTTTCTGTGTTCTCAGAATTACGGGAAATCACCGCCGTACCCGCGTTGTGTGCCATTACTGTTAGCATGCATATGACTTGTAATTCGACAGTGTGTAAATATAATTATTTCTAAAATGGATGGGCAAGAATCCAATGGAATTATCATCAACACATATTATTAGCACAAAAATCCTCACTATGCGCCTAGGCATTGCCGTTTCCTTCTAGCTATAGTATACAACTTACAGCTTAGACCTCCAGTAATGACATCTCTGAAGCAGATTTTACATCACATCAGAGCCAAACGTTGATAACTGAAGCCTCATGACGTTTAGGCATCACGTGCAACTACAAAACGAGTTCACAACGTGTCCATCAGCTAGTGCTAATTTAACATCTTGTAGAAAACCTACATAATGTCACAAAACACAATACAATGTCAAAAAAAAAATCGACATAATGTCACTTTTCAAGATTCGTAATACTAGAACACTAGAAAAACCGCACATGATAATTTAACTCCAGAGCAACCTAACGTTCTGCATCTTTTTATGCTTTAGCAATAGATCCCTAAACATTTCACGCACTCCTTAAATTTGTTGGGCCTTGTTTATTTCTTTCCTGATGAAATTTTAGTTACCACTTTGACGCGTCTACAAGTCGTTAAATATGACAGATACCACATTCTTGGTTAGTAACAGACATTCTATGCATGGTATCTCAGACTATATGAAAATACATTATACTTATTCTACACTCATCACCTTAAAACATGTCACAGGCAGACATTGACACTTTCAATCAACCCGTTCAATATTTGACGTTTTTGTTTCTGTTAAAATCCAAATAAGAAAAAAATCATCATGGACAATGATCTTGACGAACTATACAAGTGGATCGATGGGCATACAATAACAAGGCAAAAGAGGAACTTGAATCGGGATTTTTCAGATGCGGTACCCCTAGCTGAAATCCTGAAGCATCACTATCCAAAACTGGTCGATTTGCACAACTACAGCCCCAAGAACTCACTCTCACAGAAGATTGTTAACTGGGAACTGCTTAACAAAAAGGTATACCAACAAACAAATTACTTACAGTGTACAGTATATTCGAACGGTTTTGATTCAACGCCCAATTCAGGTCCAGGTGTGCGAACATCAAAAGTTCCTCAATTTATTTTGAACAACAAGGTTAAAATCGCTTTAAAATAAACGAGTCTCAAAATACTCTTCAGGGTCTTGTAGTGCAAAGTTTTAACTTTAATTAGAGGCGACCTCAAAAAGTATATTTTTTTAACCGAATCATTGCCATTGTATTATATGGAACATGGTACTAGAAGTGAGAAGATAGAGTTAATCTGCTAAAAAAATTCTCAAAAGTTTTGTCTTCCATTTTTTACTATGCCTGTGCGTCATTCATCAGCGTCAGAAGTTGCTCAGTTAGTGATGCTAATCCAAAAAGTGTACCGATATCGGGATGTAGGTAAATTAGGTGAAACACATAAACCTGAAATTTTCTATTTGACTTAAGGTACTGTCCAAACTGAAAATCAGTCTTGGCCAGCAAGAAATAGAACTCTTAGCGAAGGGCATTCCAGGTGCCATAGAAAAACTACTACAGACCATCAAGTGTAAGGTTGAAATCCGAAGAGATTCGGGAGACTCGGGTGAAAGCAGCAGGGTGTACTACATAGAAAACGACAACGCTTTCTCATCAAAGGAAGCTGTCGTGCCAATCAAAATTCAAAATGGTGATAAAACTGTGGATCGCAAAGTGGTTTCAAGCGAAGTTTTCGAGCGAATGGAGAGGGATATCGCGGAAAAAAATGAGGAAATTGCAGCGCTTAAGGCAAAAGTGGAACATTTAGAAAATATGTTGTCGATTAAAGAAGAGAGGATAAAGGACTTAACCAATCAATTGCAGAGCTTAGTGAATAATTCTTCGCAGTCCAATATATCGAAATCGAGGTTTTTTAACAAAATTTTTTAAGGAAGACTTATCCAATAAAGTTATACAGCTTTTCTAAAAGGCCATTTTTGTCATAGACTAAGATATTTCTTACGGAATAACATAAAACTATTTTTCATTCAGGAAGATTTGTTTTGGATTCCGGAGAATGATTGATTTTGAATCGGAATAAATAACCCCAAAGTTCCAAAATTGGGATAGGCGGCATGGCGAGAATCGTGGTGAATAAAGTAATATACTAATAATGCTAGGTGTGCTATTTGGATAACTTCATAAGAAGTTATGTGATTTAACAAAACATGAATAACAAAAACGACATGTTACCTTAATCGAACCTAGAACCCATTAATGTTGAGCGCATACGCCACATCATGAATTCAAAAAAATATTATCTTGAACTCAATCGGTTCGCTATGACATTCTTTAGTTAACTTATGTATTTGGAGGTCAAGATCTGCCCACAAGATTGATTTGTACGAAATCAGTGTTCTGTTCCTGGAGAACTCTCCTTGTTAGATGATTTAAAAGTGTAGAGCACATATTGGAACGCTACAGATGCTCTCTTGAATACCTTTTAAAACCACTTCTGGCAGCGTCAGCTGAAGAAAGCGAATTTTGAGCAGATGTTTTTTCCCTTATTCCAAAATCTCGAAAGTAAAGGAATATTTTACTAGCCTTTGCTTTTGAGAATCTGAAAAGTCACAAAACGACTTCTGCTCGGAATTGCAATACGTTGCATATAATGGGCTTAAGTCCGAAACCTGCCCAGCTCCATCCGGTTCCCAGAGGTCTAACTTGGGACCACTTTTATTCTATTGCTTATCAATGACCTGTGTGAAAATTTGAAACGTATGCAATTATGTTTTGCTGACGATATGAAAATATATTCGTCTATAAGGGATATTAAAGATTGTTTGGATGTACAGATGGAGTTGCATCGAACCTTAAAAATCGAAATATCTCAAAAACGGCTAACTATAACGAAAACTCACAAGAGCGCTTTTTTATGCAAAAAAGTACGGAGAATCAGTTTTTTTATTTAAAAAGCAAAAAATTGCACTAAGAAAATTTTTTCGGTCATTTTGATACAGTACAGGTACAGTAGAGAGCGCCCTCTAGCGGCTACAGTAAAACTATGCCCCTGGTTCATCTTGTCGTCCCAAAAAAACCCTTGTATACCAATTTTCACTGTTATACATCAAATATTGTTCGAAATATTTAAAAAAAAACTATTTTAAAAAGTGAATTTAAACACCCTGTGTTTCGGAAGCCACGTATTTTTCGACCCATGTTTATATAGACTTTATGCATTAATTTTTAAACTTCTATCGAATCTTAAAGTTATGCAACAATAAACTGAAACACCCTGTATATACATATGTCTGTGTGTGTATGTATATGTGTATGTACAGCTGTGCATGTGTGTATGGGTATATGTATATATGTGTATATATGCATGTGTGAATGTATATATGTGTAAATATGCATGTGTGAATGTATATATGTGTATTTATTTATATAAATATATACAGGTGTGTGTGTGTGTGCGTGTGTGTGTATATATTTATGTACGATATAAGTTAATACACACGCACAATAATTTATTCTGCTGTGGGTAAATTCAGTTTATTTACGTATACCTATGTTAGTTTTAGTTATGTTTGTATGTTACGTGATTAAACTTAAACTTATTATTATCATCATCGCTTCCAACCTCATGCATTCCTGACAGACTCTTTTCCTCTGCTGTTAGCTCCCATTGCAAACTCTTTCTATCGTATAGACATACGCAACAACGCATAATCAAAAAGTACCCTAGTGTAGAAAAACTATTACTTTGTCCACTATATCCTTCGAATATTTTTGCAAACGTATTGCTCGTTACTATTTCAGGAGCTTTATGCTACAAAATCATGACATCTCTATTTTTGCAAACAATAGTTGTCCCCTGTTTTTGACACTTCAGATTCTTTACAGTTAACAATAATGCTTTCCAGTAATATCACTATGCATTTTTAATACACTTAGTATAAATCGCTTATTTTTGATGGCGCCCTAAACATGGCGCCAAAGTTGAGCATGAAGGATTCGCTACCTAATCAAGATTATGGTCAAAAAATGAGTTTGTATTCGTGTTACTGCCCTTACTCTCCTCTCAACATAATTCATTGGTCAATGATATAACTCGTTTACAAAGTAAAGTGCACCTTTCGTTACTAGGAATACATTTTTTATTTCATGTAAATTGAGCTCATAAAATGCTCAAATATTGTATTGCGCAAATCGAACACTATAAACCTCTGTAAATGTATACTGAAAGCCCAAAGTATGGCAATAAAGCTCCTCTGTCAACACATCTCCGCTCTGTTGACTTTTTCATCAGCTGTGTTTGTTTTACCTACACAGGCTTATAATATGGACCACTGCAACCTATCGCAGTCCAGTGAAGTGCTCGAGATGGTTGTATAGTTATGATGATGCAAACGTGGCAAGAATTATAAGGAATATTATTGGAAGGTGGGAATATTGTCAGTTATACTGTGGGCATGTTGAAAATTACTAGATAGTGGCGTGCAGAAAACAAAAATGAAATTATAGTGACCTCATTATTACCGAATTTCTGGAAATTATCATTTTTTAGCAGGGTCTATTGATCAGGCGCTGCGTGCTGCGCGGGTTCGAATCTTGTCCCAAGAAATTTGTTCTCTTTGCTGTAGATGTTGTGATTGTACGTGTTTCCCCGCTACAATCCCCTTCCTCTGTATCCCCTATAACCTTACGGTACCCATGGACCGTTAGGGCTTCGTGGTGGTTCCGGTATAAAAAATGTCCTGAAATGATCAAAAACTCTTAAGGGTTCTGCCATTCCATTCCAAGCTTTGTGCGAACTTTCAACGTTCTCTGCATAAATGTTGAAAAATTAGCGTTTCGCGTTTGCTTAGGGCTTCATTGTACTCGACCATTTAGTCGTTAATACTCTCGTATAGAAATTATCGTGACTGTTGAAATTGTCAGGTGAATCATATGTATAACGGTAAAGCGACATCGAAATTAATTTCACTAACGAAAGCTTGTTCAGAATTAGGACCTGGCTGTGTGAACAAGATATGGGAATAATTAAAAGCAGAAAGTGTGAAAAGACTTCTTGATCTTCGAACATGCCGCAGGAATACGATATTGCAAAGGAAATGAAACATCTTGGTAAGTTTGGAAGAACAAAGAATTGATTTTGATTTTTCAAAGGCGTCATCTCGGAGTCTTTGTGACTTTCAGTTAATTCTTTAAAAGTCGATTTACGATCTGGGTTATTAACTATGTAGTGGTTTCAAGGAGTGTAATGGACGGTTTGTAATAGCTACCTGATTTTTATTTATTTTCCTACTATCGTCCACACATTGTTTACACGTCTTGAAAATATGGGTATCTTGTATTGTTAAATAACTTATACAGGTGGTTCAACAAATATTAAAAATTGGACAATCTTAATGGAAATCAAATCCCACCGAATTGTTTAACATTAAATTCAGTATTCCGTCTATTTAACATTTGCTTACGTAGCGGTTTAGTGGCTTATGGAACTCAATAGCAAAACAGTAAATTGTTTATAATGAAAACGTCTCAGTGAAAGATAATCCGAGCTAATCCAAGGCAATCAAGGGTAATTTATGTATCTGCGGATCCGCCTCTGTTGCCATTATAACTTATTCTACTAATTTTTCGTTGTATATTCCAGGGAAAAAAAAATTACAAAAGGCTTCCAAGCAGATCAAAGCAAATTTGAGTGCAGCAAAACGTTTTGTCAAGTATGTCGACTCTGCACTTCCCACACAACGCTGTTATCAGTCCATAAAGGAGTGCAATCAGCACAAACTAGACCCTCTTATAGACATTCTTTCCCCGCCCTACCGGCAGTACACCTGGCAAGGTCGCATCTCCCCGATACCTCACCCAAACACTATGCTCTGGCGCGGCAGTAATACGTGTAATATCAGAACACTTACCAAGGCCGGAGGCACGCCGCCGTAAGGAGAAGCAAGCGCATCCGGTAGCTTCGTGATCGGACTGCTGAGGATATTTTCAAGGGCTAATGTGTGAAATATAGAGGCGCGCAAAATTACCAGTGTTGCAAGCGTATACATATACTAACAAAAAAATTGAGATACACCCTTCTCACCTCGAAATTTTTATCCCCTAAGATTTATTCAAAAATGATCTCCTGAAACGAAGTTTGTGCGATTCTTATTTTTTTCGATTTTGTCATGGTTCTTCGTGATGTACATGTCGCATAACATCTAAAAAACGTAATATCACATTTTCGAAAATTTCCTTGATTACAAAACTTCTGCACCAATAGACGTGGGAAGTAAAACGTATAAGTTCTAAGTCGCTCGTACTCCCGTTTCCCCGATCATAGGCGTGCGTGACTGTGGCCAACTGCAACTAATATTTCAAAACAGATGACTTGCGAAATTCTTCGGCGGTACGGTGTTATGAATGACGTTTCTGTTTGGAGATCTTTATCGTCCGTTGGTCCCTGCCGCCAGACGGATTATTTGAAGGGGCCACGCTGACGCGACATCCAACTGGCTAATTATTAGTCAGTGTTCCTGTGGCAAGGAAGGAATTCAAACCCCTATTAAGTCATTAAAGAAATTGGAAAAGGTTTCGAAGTAGATGGGAGGAATTTAATCCGGTAGTTGATACCATTTTTAAATTCATTTAACATTAATTTCTGGCTAGATGGGAGGAATTTAATCCGGCAGTTGATACCATTTTTAAATTCATTTAACATTAATTTCTGGCTAGATGGGAGGAATTTAATCCGGCAGTTGATACCATTTTTAAATTCATTTAACATTAATTTCTGGTTAGAAATCGATTTAGAATTTCGGTATTTGTTTTTTATTTCGGCATTAAATGCAGCTAAAACGTAATTTAAAGTTGAGGCAAAACGCGCTATTCCAGACACGAGATATGTGACGCCGTTGTGCAGTAAATGAAGACGAATTTTTTGGTCAATTGGGGATGATGCTATTCTGTGCCTCACTGTGGTAATACTA